GTTACAGATTTTGTACCAGCACTCACCTGTTACAGATTTTGTACCAGCACTCACCTGTTACAAATTTTGTACCGGTGGTCACCTGTTACAGATTTTGTACCAGTGCTCACCTGTTACAGATTATGTACCAGCACTCACCTGTTACAGATTTTGTACCAGCACTCACCTGTTACAAATTTTGTACCGGTGCTCACCTGTTACAGATTTTGTACCAGCACTCACCTGTTTACAGATTTTGTACCAGTACTCACCTGTTACAGATTTTGTACCAGTACTCACCTGTTACAGATCTTGTACCAGTACTCACCTGTTACAGATTATGTACCAGCACTCACCTGTTACAGATTTTGTACCAGTACTCACCTGTTACAGATTTTGTACCAGTACTTACCTGTTACAGATTTTTACCTGCACTCACCTGTTACAGATTTTGTACCAGTACACACCTGTTACAGATTTTGTACCAGTGCTTACCTGTTACAGATTTTGTACCTGCACTCACCTGTTACAGATTTTGTACCAGTACTCACCTGTTACAGATTTTGTACCAGTGCTTACCTGTTACAGATTTTGTACCAGTACTCACCTGTTACAGATTTTGTACCAATACTCACCTGTTACAGATTTTGTACCAGTACTCACCTGTTACAGATTTTGTACCAGTGCCTACCTGTTACAGATTTTGTACCTGCACTCACCTGTTACAGATTTTGATAACTTTGCTGATAAACTTGTTATAGAGACATCAATGTGTATATCCTGTCACCCAAGAAAGTGAAATAACGTACAATTTGTGTAAAAGTAATGCAGAATCTGTGCAAAGCTCTGGCCAACACGAGCAACACACAACACAGTAAGTTAAAAGGCCAAAATATTTCATAGTAAACCAGTTTAAAAGAAATGAATAAGAGTGTATGGCTGCTTTAATCAGCACAACAAATATTACCTTTTTAGATCAATCGTGAGAATGATGACCTGACAAACTTTTGTGTTTTCTCCATATTTGTAGAAACAAAACTTTATTGTCTTAATATTGGGTATACCTGAGGCATTTTTTTCAAAATACTAGAGTTATACTTAAAGGAAGCAGATGATTCAGGTCAGGTTTTTTATAAGCTAACAAATGTTTCTTCTGTGTATCATACACAATTTCTGTGTTACCTCAAAATGGTCTCAGTCACATTTTATCTGCTAATTTCAGTGTAACATGATACCAGTAGTTTACAACATGTATATAAAACAATGTTGATATATATCAATGAAACAGGAAAAACACCTATAATACCCTATCAGGTTATCCTTCTCCTGCATTATCTTGAAAAAAAAACAAAAAAAACACACACACAAAAGAACCCAAACTTTTCTGGATATATTTTAATGAGGTTAAAAATATGATGACTCAGCAACCATATGCACCAATTCATTTCATTCAATAAAAGATACTAGTCAATTTACTAACAGCAGTGCTCATTTAGGTCATAGAATCACACAATTCAGCATTACCATTGCAGTGTTCATGTGCTATTTTCACATTCCTGCATTACTGGACAAAGAGACTATAAATTTATCTCATAATTTGCTCTTCAACATTTTGGACTAAGTATTCATTGCCCAGCTCTATCAATCTTCCATTTGACAATGGCTTCAATCAAAATTAGAGGGGTTATATCATTTTTATACTGTTTTGTATACTAAGTGCTGAGACAGTTTTGGAAGAATATCAAAAACATAATATCATGTGCAATGACCTGAAAGAATAACTCATAAAAATATTTCTTTATGAGCTTGGTACCAGTCCAAGAATGTATCAAGTTCATGTCATATACTTATATCATATTTAGTATTGCCATTTTCCATTTTCTAAGAAATCTTGAACCACAATGAACTTGTCTCAATATAAGTCTCAGCCTTCTCACAGCCTCTGATCTACACCTTGGAACATCTTATCTTAGCTTTGAATGTATTATCTTAGCTTTGAATGTATTATCTTAGCTTTGAATGTATTATCTCAGCCTTGAATGTATTATTTCAGTTTTGAATGTATTATCACAGCTTTGAATGTGATATATTAGCTTTGAATGTCTTAACTCAGCCAACTCAACCTTGAACCTCTTATCTCATCTGTTGTATGAATTTTTTCAGTTTTGAATGTCTTAACTCAGTCTCAAACCCCTAAAACTTGGCACTGAACACCTTATCTCACCATTGAACCCCTTATCTCAGCCTTGAACCTCTCATCTCAGCTCTGAAGGTATTTTCTCAGTTTAAAATGTCTTTAACTCAGCCTAAAACCTCTAAAGCGCGGCACTGAACCCCTTATCTCAGCATCTAATATCTAATCTTAGCATTGAACCCTCTTATATCAATTCTAGCCTTAATCTTCTTTTCTAAGCATAGAACTACTTACCCCAGCCTTTAATCTATTACCTCATTTGAGCTTTAATTCTTTTTCTAAGCCTTGAAACTCTTACCTCAAACCTGATCATCCGATCTTAGCCTTAACTTAAACCTTTTGTCTCAGTTTTGAATCTCTTATCTCAAATTTGGACCTCTTATCTCAGCCTTGTAGAAGTTCTGTATTTGTGAATCAAGACTAAAGTTCTTGAAAACTCTACTTAGTCTACAAAATGTTATGGTTTGAAAACTCATGTAATAAAACATATTTTAATCCAAGTAACATTGTACTATTTCTCATCTTCACATTTTATAATAACCTGTATTTACATAGTCAGTTCTCACAACATTAGGAAAGTGTCTTAAATTTTCTGTAATAATTTGTCATAATAAACATGTAACATTAAGAATTTAGTACATGCCTGTGGCTAGTACAACTCTATAGACAGAATATATTATAGTCATTTACATCTAAACACTGCATTTATGTAATTATGCTCAATAAATATCTTATAACAGCCAATTACTTCTCATATAAATTCTGCTGTAAAGTAATATTATAAATTTGCAAAATAAACAAAATAAACAAGATCACGCATGTTGCACCAACATTTGTCTGTTTGGGGTAACAACTCAAAACAAGAGGGCCATAATGGCCCTGAAATCGCTCACCTGATTATAGAAACTTTCCATGACAAGGAACAAGTAATATTGTTAACTATAAACAAAAGCATGAAAGCAAGATAATATCTAAATCTTACACTGATATCACCAAGTTCTGACCCAAGAGCTTTTATTTGAACAAACTTAGTAGACACTCACTAGAAGATGTTTCATGTCAAAAATCTAAGCTCTAGCTCTTTTGGGTTTTCAAAAAAAAGATTTTTTAAGTTTTTTCTTTCAGTTGCCATGGTAACTATAGTTCTTCATGGAATGAAAGTCTTTGAACAAGTTTTAAAGGTGACCACGAAAGGAACATTCTTGAGAAGTTTGGATGGAATTGGTTCAGCAGTTTGAGGAAATGCTGTTAAAAGTAAAAGTTTACAGACGGATGACGGACGGACGCCAGACGAATTGTGATCACAAAAGTTCACCTTGTCATTTTGTGACAGTTGAGCTAATAATTAAATTCACGAGTTTTATTATGTTTTTACTGTCATGCACTACACTTCTCAATTAGAACTTCAAGAAAACATTTACACTGTAGCCTCTATATATCTATATATCGCTCTTCGTTATAACGCTAATCTCAGTATAGCGCTCATAGACCTTGGCTCCCCAAAAACTTCAAAAAAAACAACTTCAAAAAAAAATATAAAGAATTAAGTAGATCTAGATTTATAGCGCGCTATAACGCTTGTTCAATTTGACAGTCAAGTACAATAGACAATTGTAATTAGGACATTTATGAGCGCCAAAGGTGTGAAAAACATGCCCATGTTGTTGTTTTACCTGTCCATCAGTCAGGCATCAAATTGTTTCCAAAATCTCAAATTCATATCAAAACTGTGACATGGGCAACCGGTGGCGAGTATAAATAAACTACAATTCACACGCATATCTGTGACATGTAAACCTCGCTGAATTAAATAACCCACACAAGCCCAAAATCAATTTAAAATCCTGCACTGTAAATAGAACGGCCGAGACAGGAAGTAATTGGCTTTTTGATTAACTAGGGGACACAACTAAAGCTGGAATGTAAATTACAGTGTAATGTACAGTTCAGCTTTAGTTGTGTCCCCTAGTTTATCAAACGCCATTACAGTAATGGCTAACAGTTACTGTTTACACTACATTCATGATTTATGTTTTTCATTCGAAAGTTTTTTGTTTCTTTTAAATATAATTAGTATTATTTGTGAATATAATATATGTTAACATGATTGAATTGTTTTAGAAAAAGATAATGTCAATATTCATTTTAACAGTAAGTAAAAATCGTCAGCCTTATATAGATATGTGGTGGGTGGGGTAATGCGGTAATTTCGCAATGAGTGTTCTAATGAGAGCCTTGTTAGAACGCGGTGTTGAGACATTGGACCCAAACATGACGTTGTAATGAGGCTGTAGTGTATTAAACTAAACAGATCATTGCTATGACAAAAACTAGCAGACATCTATCTATAAGATGTGTCATGATATTACTTTTATTTCTTTCTTTTAAGAAGAATAATATCATGATTGAGAATGTTCAAGACATTAATTATTTTCCATGCAAAAAAAAAAAAGGGGGCCTAACTCTAGAAATACTGGCCATTTAGTGATGTCCCCTGTCCAACATATGTGCCTTGCACTCATTAGCAAGTATGCCAGAAATGAGTTCAATATCTTTGATGGTTTTCAAATATTTTTATAAAAAACAAATAAAAAAAAAATGTTTTAAAAAAGAGCTGTAACTAAAAAAAATAATTCTTTCAGGATAATTCCTCTTGTCATACTCCTTGTGGTGTTGATACCCTGATTTCAGAAAATGTGAGGATTTAATTGCAGGAACAAACTTCCTAGTAATGGAATGACAGCATAAATGCTGTCAAAAAATTAACCAATTATCTTCTTACGTAAATTAGATTGCAATATAACAAGTTCCCGATTCTTTGACTTACCTGAATGTAAATTTTCTTTTATTTGTTTCTGTAGGTCAAGGACACTAGCCAACTTTATATCACGTCTTTTTGGCTGACTTCCACACTGTGGTAGATTTATCTTACTAAAATATAAATAATACAAATATAACCAGAATACGAGAACCTAATAAAACACTCAATCTAAAACACTATACTACTAGTATATGGCAAAAAATGGCAATTACAGAAGCTTTCAATTTCATCATTAAATTCTGACTCTTCTTTCGTAAAAACAATATCTTGTTCCACACAATCAGTTTTAACTTTCATTTTTTTATGTGTGCATCACGGTCACCTGAGAGGACCCACAGATGTTCTGTTAGCGTGACAGCTTCCTCATGAACCCCTGGCAGGATTTGAACCCCCAGCATTAAGGTGCTAGTGGTATGAAGTCAATGACATTGCTGCCCTTTCAAGATCATAATGCAACCTTTTACCAGCAAAGGAGAACTGGGTTGCATCTGTATACATTATTTCAGGTACATCATTGTATAAACATTTACCAAAGTAAAACTACAAACTTTCTGCATGGCAGGAGAATAGATTTCTAAAATGACACAATTTAACATGTTCAACATTTTGCAAATATGCTGTAATTAAAAAGGGCTTTTACTTTGTAAGCTGGTAGTGCTGGTCAATAAACTTGACCATTTTGGCCTTCAGAGTTCTCATACTATTATTCATTTATTATCAAACCTTTTATCTGAGCTAGAAGTAGATGTCATCTCTGTTTCCATTGGTGCTTCCGTTGAATCAGTTGAAGAAGACTGAATCTGATTGGTTGATTGATTAGCCTCTTTTTCATTTTCAGCATTCTGATTGGGTGGCTTGAAAAATGCATCAAGCTTCTGTTCTCTGCTGTCTGTACGAACCATCTGGTGGGCATACGTTTTGTTTCCAGAATCTAAAACATCAAATTATTTAAACAAGAGGGCCATGATGGCCCTGAAGTCGCTCACCTGTATATAGGACCCCGGAGCGGGGCCAGTTTAAACCCCAGGGCTTTTATTTGAACAAACTTGGTAGACACCCATTAGAAGATATTTCATGCTTAACAACTAAGGTCTAGCTGGTCAAATTTTTTTTTAACACATATAGTTAAAAACAATGACACACCTGGGGCAGGGCCAGTTTTGACCCAAGGGCTTTTATTTGAACAATCTTTGTAGACACTTACTAGAAAAATGTTTCATGCTTAATATCTAAACTCTAGCTATTTCGGGTTTTTTCAAAGAAGACTTTTTAAGTTTTTGCTATAACACATATAAGGAAAATCAAATGTCAGCCCGGGCGGGGCAATTTTTGACCCCAGGGCTTTTATTTGAACAAACTTGGTAGACATCCATTAGAAACATGTTTCATACCAAATATCTAAGCTCTAGTCTTTGGTTTTTTAGAAAGAAGAAGATTTTTTTAAGCTTTTTACTATATGCAGTATAGGGGAAAATCAATGACCCCTGGGGCCATTTTGACCCCAGGGCTTTTATTGAACAAACTTGGTAGCAGATCCATTTAGAACATGTTTTCATGCCAAATATCTAAGCTCTAGCCTCTTTGGGGTTTTTAGAAAGAAAGATTTTTTAAGTTTTTTACTAATAATGCATATAGGGCAAAATCAATGACCCCTGGGGCGGGGCCAATATTGACCCAGGGCTTTTATTTGAACAAGTCTTGCGTAACACTCATTAGAAGATGTTTCAACTTAATATCTTAGCCTCCTAGCTCTTTGGGTTCTTTAAAAAAAGATTTTTTTAAGTTTTTACTATATATGCTGTTTAGGGAAAATCAAATGAACCCCCCAGGGGGGCAGGGCAATTTTTGAACCCCAAACGGGCCTTTTATTTGAACAAATGGTATTTATACATTCCATGTAGAACATGTTTTAATAGCCAAATTTATATCTAAGCTCTAGCTCTTTGGGTTTTTTTTTAGAAGAAGATTTTTTAAGTTCTTTTAACTAAAATTGATTCATACAAGATATAGGGAAAATCAAATGAAGCCCCTGGCGGGGGCCCCAATTTTTACCCTAGGGATTTTTTATTTGAACAATCTTAATACACTCACTAGAAGATGTTTCATCCAAAAATATTAAGCTCTAAGCTCTTTGGTTTTTTTAGAAGAAGATGTGAAATGTTTTTTCTTTTGGTTGCGCATGGCAACCAGAGTTCTGCGATTGGAATGGAAATCCCTTTATGACAACCTTTTGTTAAGGCTTTCACAGGAACAAAGAACAATTAATCCCTTTGTGAAGTTTCACGATTATTGATCCTGCCTTATGGTTTCAGGGAATGTCGTTTGAAAAGTGTTGAACGGAACAACGTACGACGGGAATGAACAGACAAGGCGACCGAAGAGTGATTCCTTTAAATAAGCCTCAACCCTGAAGATAGATGTATAATATAATTAATTATGCTATTCCTGACATATCTCAGGTGAGCTAAAAAGAACCAGTCAGTCATTTATGTAGCAGTATATAAAATCATAGAAAAACTAAAATAAAATGACATCTGTTTTTTTTCATTCCTCCTTTTGGATGTGAATTGTTTTGGGACTAACTATCTGCCTACATAACCAAATTTGTAGCTGCTTCTAATAATTTCAAATTTTGATAAAAAAATTTTTTAAAATGGATTTTTATTTTGTAACAAATATTTTACAAATTTCCATTCAAGAACTGCAGGAACTTTATGGGAGTAGACAATTTTAAGGGTTATTTTTGGAATCCCCATGAAATGAATTGAATGCATATTAAAGTTTATGACAAACTGGACAATGAAGCATCTTCTAAATTTTTGTACTTTGATATCGAAATTCTCTTAAATTTTGAATGGATCTTTCCTCATTTAATGTAGTGCAAATCCACTTCACAAATTCAGCCAGTTAAGGCCTAAAACTTTGATATTCCAACAAATTGGTTAGAACAATGTGATTATTGCCAACTGGTATTTTAATGTTTAAAGTTATATTTTCTATTTCCTTTCATTTTATCAGATTATTTACAGTTTTTTAAAGTAAATTCTATTAAAATATTCATTAAGTTGAAACATTATTTAATATTGACAAATGCAGACAAGATTTTATATCCCTTCGAAAGAGACATTGCTTTTTTATTGTACACCTTTCTTAAGTCACTTTCATTTATATGCATGCTTTTATTATTTTTTGCCCCATTGTAAATTCAGAACTTTTAAACTTATTTAATGGACTACTTAATTGAATTCAATATTTGAAGTAATATAAGTTCTACTCACCCACAGGAGAATAATTATTTTTCAAATATTTTGTGAACATCACCCAGAATTCATAAATTTTAAATATTAATGTTTTGTCAGGACCGATTATTACAAAAATAGTTATAATTTTCCATTCCGACCAGTTTGAATACTTAGCTTTTAAAAATTCAACAAACAAGCCACATAAACATGAACATTCATTAATTATTTATCTCTTGCATATGTTTTTTTTCTCTTTTTAGGTTTCAAGAAGACTCAATAAAGATTGTTTTTTTGGTATATGACAGGACTGGAAATATATTTTTGAGAGTTTTGTACCATTTGTTATAGGTTTGGAGCAATAACTTATTTGCAAAATTTCAGGTTTAAGTCCCTAAGATTGTTTTCCCTGGACAGTTTTTAACAAATAAATACGGAAAAAGCTGTGAAAAAAAGACACAAAAAAAATTTCCCAAAAACACCGCATGCAAAAATTAACAAATTGTCTATTTAAAAATTCTAAAAAAAAAACACACATAACCCTAAATGATTGCCTTTTCAGAAGTATGGCCCCCTTATTTTTTAAAAAAATTTCATATTGGGCATAAAAAAAGTTTTTCCCCAGTTTCATAATGAAGGCCCTTTTGGAATTGCTTTTTATTTTGTATTTAAAAAGGGTGTAAAATTGAAAAATTTTTTTTCACCCACAATAATATTTCAGCAATCAAAAATTGCAAAAACTTTTTCTTTCTGGAAAGTGGGGCTAATAAACATTTTTTTAAAAATTTTAAAATCAAATAAAAGGGTAAAGAAAAAAACCTTTCCAGTTTTAAATTTTTAAGAATAGTCTGTTTTTCTAAACTTTTGCATATCTTTCTGTTATAAATACCCTAGTTGATCTACGTAAGAAATTCAATTTTATGTTTTTAGGTATTTGGACCTCAGTGGAGTAACTTAACTAAAACATGCTGATTTGCAATATGCAAACTCAATTGAATAAGTAGTTTCAATGGCAACCTGGGCAAAACATTTGAATATTTACATAATGTTCTAGTTTAATTTTGCTTATTTTGTTTAAAGATGGTCTTTGCTGAACTTTCTTATGCTCTGGTGAGGAACATGTTGTTTCTTTACTTATTCCATTTGATTGATATTTTGATAAAAGTTCAGTCCAGCCATTATAGCATTTGTGTTCTAAGTTATTTATGCAAAAACAACATTGAATGAATTTTGTGCAGCGAAGTGGAACATGCCTGCGATGTACACAACTATATAGGGATGGTATTCATCATTCCTGTAAAGTTTGGTTCAAATTCCATCAGAAGTTTGACCTGTGGAGGCCGGACAAGATTATTTTAATTTTAGCTCTGGCAGCCAGTTTATTCAGCAAAGCGAAACATGCCCATAATGTGCATAACTAGGGATGGTACTGATCACTTCTGTAAAGTCTGGTTGAAATCCCACCAGTAGTTTGACTTGTGAAAGCCAGACAAGATTTTTCTAATTTTATTGCTGGTGGCCACTTTGTGCAGCCAAGCTAACATGAATTTTATTGGGGGCACAAAAAAAGGATTTGGGAAGATTACTCTTGGGAAAATTTGATTTAAAAACCCCCAGTAGGTTTTAAATTTTTAAAGCCGGGCAAGATTTTTCCTTTTTTTTAGGGTCAGGTGGCCCCTTTTTTAAGCGAAGGGAGAATGTGCCCGAGATTTTGCACAGAAGGGAGGTACTGATCACTTCTGGTTAAAATCTGGTTGGGAAAACCCAACCCGGGGAAATTTTTACCTGGAATTTCCCAAAAGATTTTTTATTTTTTTGCCCTGGCAGCCCCTTTTGTGCAGGGCTGAAAATTTCCGGTGAATTTTGCAAAACTAAGGGTGGTAAATGATCAAAATCCTGTTAAAAAAATTTGGGTTTAAAACCTAAAAAAATAGTATGGACCCCTTGATGGAAGGTCGGACCCCAGCTTTTAAATGCGAATTGACAACCGGACAGACGGACCGACCATTACTCACACAAGGCTTAAAAAAAGACACACAAGTAAACACGGAATGAATAGGATCAAAGAGAATTTGCTGTTAACCATTGTTCTCCAAGTCACACAAGTACCTCTGGGTTTGTATGGACAGACAGACAGCCAAGGCAAAAACAATTATGTCCCCCAATTTTGGGAGACATAATAATTGTAAGATCATGTTTTATCTATCTAAAAGCATACCTGTGTCTTTGTTAGCATCTTCCTTTGAGAGTTCTGGTATCACTGTTGCCCCTGGTAACAACGCCTGAGTGTAGTAGGTCCGGCTGACATTACAACCAAGCAACTTTGTCTCGATTGTCTTCTGAACACTCTCGATGATAGCATCCTCATGTAGGAAGCGAACTTCATGCTTTGTTGGATGAACGTTAACATCAATATTTTGAGGAGCAATCTCTAAACTGTAAAACAGATTGTGACTTTTTAAATTTTATAATCTATCAAAATTTGATTTAAAAAAGTTATGTCCATCCAAATTGTGTTCAATTCTGTTTTTCATTATGAAACAATAATTAATAACCCATGTGCATGCCTGGTTAATGATAGAGCTACTTCTTTCGGAGGTATACAGTAAATCGCTCTATATTATTGCTACTTCCGAGCTAGTACATGTCGCTAAAATCAAGTGTCGATTGTTTTCATTTTTTATATATTTTGTAAACTCTACACCAAATATCAAAATTTGGAGAATGTTATGCGATGTAGATTTGATTAAAGTTTCCAGAAAACGTAAAGTTGTTATAATTGAGTTCGAAATGTAGTTGTGTGGCGGCGTTTCACAGTTAGTGAATTCAGCGTTGAAATGGACCGTTTCAGCTTGGAACGGATTATTTTTGCAATTTTATCTATGTAATGTTTTCCACAGTGAAACAATATTTGCATATAAACCAACAGGCATCGCTAATCATTCTTTTGAACCAGCTTATCTTAAATGCCATAAAAGCATTTAAATTTAACATTTTTACCCCTCCCTCTGAAAAGGCCTTGCAATTTTAACATTTCCTTGCCATATAAAATCATAAAACATATTATTAAGTTTATTTATCATGTCTTGAGGTGGTGACGGTAGGGCTATAAAAAGATGGTTTAAAATTGAAATTAAAAGCGTTTTGATAAATGCAATTTTTTCTATTCCCTGCTAAAAGATGGTAAATGAAATAAATTACAAAATCTGGATCATTTCTGATGTCTTAACAAGAAGACCATGATGGTACCAGAGATTCATTGCCAGAAATGGTCCAAATTCTACCAATGGGGTCATATTTCTGAATCCCCAGCAACATGACTTATAAAAATTTCATAGAGGTCCGCCAGGTATTGCAACTTGCACATATCTAAGCTCTAAGCATTGTAGTATCTAAGCAGGTATTTTCCTATACAAGTTAGTAACAACCAAGGGGCAAGCCAATTAATGACCCCATGATTTATGTGTCTTTTTATAAGTCCAGGTGACAATACTAATTGCTATACATCAAAGCTTTAGGCATAGTACTTTCATACAAGTGGGGGTTGCTAATGTATTTTCTTACACAAGTCTATATAAAACACAAGAGCAATCAGTGATCACGTGTCGCCTCATGATGGCCAATTTCATGTTGGGACAAGTTTTGTGACAGACGGACAGACAGTGCACAACAAGACTTGGTTCTGATCATTCCTGTAAAGTTTATATAAAATTGCACCAGTAGTTTATGAGGAGTAGTCTGGACAAGCTTTTGTGTATCTGGCAACACACAGAAAAAAACACCTTTTTATCAAAGGGCCATAACTCGGCCAAAAATCACTCAACCGGAAAACCCATGCCGAAGGACTTGAGCTACAGATCAATCCTTTTAAGTTTCATTGAAATTGCATTAGTGGTATAAGAGAAGTAGTCCGGACAAACTTTAAAAATAAAAATTATTAACGGGCCATAACTCTGACAAAAATCATTGAATCGCAAAATGCTGACAATATGCACAACTAGACTTGGTACTGATCATTCCTGTAAAGTTTGGATGAAATTGCACCAGTAGTTTATGAGGGGTAGTCCGGACAAGTTTTGTGACGGACGGACAGACTGACAGACAGACGACGGAGAAGTGATCCCTTTATGTCGCCACTACTCCGTAGAGGCGACACAACAAGTCTATATCATAATCTAAAAGATCACGGGTAGGGCTAATTTTTCCCCCATGGTAAAAAACTATACAACTTTTTGTAAAGGACTACAAGGTGATGCTACATGACAAATATCTATGCCCTGGGCAGTATATATACTGTTAAAAGTTGTGTAAACTGAGTGACCACCAGAGCAAGGCAATCTTTGATCCTAGGCCATGGTTCATGTAACTTTTCTGGCAGTCCATTGGGCAATGGTACAAGTCAAATACCTTCACTTTGGGCAGTACACATGGAGACTTAATTGTGTTTTCCTGTTTATAATTTTATATAAATTAATTAACCTCCCAGATAAGATTTTTAAAGATTTCATTTTTAAAAACTATTTTTAGCTCCTCAGACTTGAACTTTTTATTAAATTTAAGTACTTCTATATAACTTTTGTATGATTCCTGTGAAGTTTGGTCAAAATCTACCTGTGGTTTTAGAGATGTTGTGTTTAAAGAAATTGCAGGTAAAAAAGGATGACTGACAATGCACAATAGATATGGAATAACAAAAGCTCATCTCTTTGTGCTCAGATGAGTTAATAAAAAAAAGTTGTATGCTGAATTACATTGTAACTATTTTAACAAACTGAACTGAAATATAAGATTATGTCAACAACACAAGGACCATCAGTGAAGACATGTGTTGCCTCATGATAGCCAATTGCATGATGCAGCTACTGTGTAGCAGGAGACCCAAACACATCTTTTATTCCAGGCCCATAACTCGGCAGAAAATCCTTCAACCGGAAAAATCCATGTAATATATGCAAGTTCTTGAGCTTGCACTACTCCATAGAGGCAACACAAAAACAACATACAGCTGGGTTTATCAAGTTTGATTACTTATATATTTGGCATGAATGGGGTGAAGTGTTGGACTTAACCAAGCTATTATTGAAGATGTTGTCACTTGACCTTACCAGCACTAATTTTATCCAACAATTATACCAAGTATGATCTCCTTGTTGTAATGGAGGAGAATAATTAAGACATTCAACAGCTTCATTTTCATCTCGTACAATGCAGCACTGTATCTTGGCACTTAACAAAAAAAATTTTGTTTAGTTTTTTTTTTATTACGCTTTAAATAAACAAGAGCCACCACCAGGGCAATGTTCAACTTTTTTAAGCAAACAAATCAACAACTTAAACAAAACGATGAAAATAAAATAAAATTTTATTATTTTCACTATGTCTGCGTCATCACACTCATTGTTTTAAGTATGAATCATTTCTATAAATAAATGACAAAGTTAAGAAAGTAAAAGCAAACTTTAATCATCTGACCTTGATGGTCAAGGCCATTTAAAGGTCAAGGTTATATCTCAATTATCCAACATATTCGTTTATCACAAGAATTGTTTTATCAACACCCTCCTGCCCACGCCCCAAAAAAAAGGTTGAGCTAAAAGAGAAAATTTTATTGATTTTTGTCTATCATATCAACATCTTACAATATCATCGTCTTACATCAAAATGAAACAAGAGGGCCATGATGGCCCTGAGGTCGCTCACCTGTATAAAGGCACCCGGAGCGGGCCAGTTTAAACCCCAGGCCTTTTATTTGAACAAACTTGGAAGACACCCATTAAAAGATGTTTCACAATGTTAAGTTTTTTACTACACACATATAATGAAAAACAATGATCTACCCCGCCCCCTCCGCCCCCCCCCCCCACACCGGGCAGGGCCAATTTTAACCCAAGGGCTTTTATTTTAACAAACTTGGTAGACACCCATAAGAAGATGTTTCATGCTAAACATCTAAGCTCTAGCTCATTGGGTTTATTTCAAAGAAGATTTTTTAAGTTTTTACTATACACATGTAGTTAAAACCAATGACACCCCTGGGGCGGGGCCAATTTTGACCCCCAGGGCTTTTATTTGAACAAACTTTGTAGACAATTACTAGAAGATGTTTCATGCTTAATATCTCAACTCTAGCTATTTGGGTTTTTTCAAAAAATATTTTTATGTTTTTGCTATACAAATATAAGAGAAACAATACCACCCGGGGCGGGGCCAATTTTAACTCCAGGGCTTTTATTTGAACATACTTTGTAGACACTCACTAGAAGATGTTTCATGCTTAATATCTAAACTCAAGCTATTTGGGTTTTTTCAAAGGAGATTTTTTAAGTTTTTGCTAAATACATATAAGGAAAATCAATGACCCCCAGGGCTGGGCCAATTTTGACCCCCGGGCTTTTATTTGAACAAACTTTGTAGACACCCATTAGAACATGTTTCATGCTAAATATCTTAGCTCTAGCTCTTTGGGTTCTTTAAAAGAAGATTTTTTAAGTTTTTACTATACAGTCTAACTTGCCCATGCGACCACGTGTATTAAGCGACTTTTGTCTTAAACGACCACTTTAAATTCCCCCCGATCATTTTTTCTCTATTTCTTTAATGTATTAAGCGACTTTTGATCAACGCGACCAGCGACCGCTAATTATTCACCTAATTGACATCAATCTTTTCATTAAACGACCACTTTTACCTGTCAAGTAATTGTATTTTTAAAGAACGCCACCTCGTTATGTCACAAGTGTCAGCAATCAAAACACAACAATAAACGTGTGAAAAACTCTATTTCCCATACAGTTTTAGCGTATGCAAATGAAGTTAAGTATACGCGTGACGTGTATTATCCAATAATATCGGATAAACAATGCAACGCTCCGCCCATACTGAGATGGTGTATACGCTTCACTTGTTGACATTTAGACTGCATTGAATTGACCTTGAACTTGATCAGCCATTAAATTAATCGTAACAAATAGATATAGTTTGTTTATTTCAAATGAAAAAATGCACAACAGAAAACATCTTCACTAATAGGGTTTTCGTTTTGGAGACAAGGAAAAACAACGGAGAAGTTAAAAAATTCTGGAAAAAATGTCAAACATGTACGTAATGGATCAAAACTGTTTTGTCAATAAATATCGGGACGTTATTTTTACATTTGCATCCGTTTAGATTATCGGAATTAACGTACTTATTATTCAACATTTATATAAAAATGAAGTTGAAAAACAATCCCATCGAATAAAAAAGATGTCATTTATAAATTTTGACTTTTATATCATGCTGACTGTCTTAAGAGACCGTTTCATTAAGCGACCGTTTTTGGTGTTTCCCTTGCCCGGTCGCTTAATACACGTTTGACTGTATGCATATAGGGAAAATCAATGACCCCCTGGGGCGGGGCCTATTTTGAGCCCAGGGCTTTTATTTGAACAAACTTG